ACACTTCACGAAGCTGCCGATAGATTTCTATCGGTTTACAGTTTTTTGCAGTCAGAAACCTTATTACTGAGCGCACCTCGCGGGATTTTCAATTAACGCAGACATTTCAAACCGTCACAGTATCTGAACGGAGCACAGCACGAACCTCTCACTAGCACGGCTAGATGCAGACTGAGCTGCGCAACGCTCTGACCCCAAGATGGCCACGCTAGCCCCGCCCCTAGCGGACACAGACGGAAACGTAATCTACTTCCTGGATGGCCCTCGTATAATAACAAAAAGCATTATATGAAATTAATCTTTCATCTAAATTAAAATAATAATTTTAGATAGTCATTTACTATTAATGCTTTGTTGCTTGCATTAGGATTTATTGCAATTATTTTCGGCTTTGACAGAGCGCAGAAAACCAGGAACCCCTAATCCAAGTCTCTGAGACCCCTTTAACGGTGGTGCAGACCCCACAGTCCCTGCCCGGCTTTATACAAAGCCTTGGACAAGCCCCCCCCAAAAAAGGCTTGTGAATACTTAATATGAAAAAAGAATGCTCTGACATCTCTGCCTCTGGGCACCACTCCATTGCCTTTGTCTTGGTGCCATGTCCACTATGTCAGTCCACGCCACTGGGACTATAAGAGCGAAACCTCCGTCAACTAAGTCGGTGATCTCCAATCTAGCTCCACAACAGCCAAACGAACAGACACCCTGCTGGTTCGCAGTCAGTTAGAGAGAGTGCCTCGTCAAGAGTGCAAGATAGTTAATCTCAAGTTAGTCAGTCCGTGTGGAGTCGATCGAGTTGACAGCCGGGCAGCAAGTGCCGAGTGGGTGGTCGAGTGCATCGAAAGAGTCTCTTAGTGTATCATTGAGAGAGTGTTAAGCTCCGGGAACGACTGAACTGAAGAGTCGGGAGTTGTGCTCTTTATGTCGTCAAGTGTATTGCTAGTTGCAGCGTGAAGAGTCTCGAGAGTGCATGGAGTTCCGAGAACAGCCGAGCAGAGTCGGGAGCTGCACTTTGGTGCTTTGCAGGGAAGCTGTCTTCACCGTTATTGCCCGTGAAGGCTGTGTCGCTGATTGTTCCAGCACGTTTATAGATCTTCGACAACTGTAAAAAGTGACTTTGGAGCTGTCCTCATTAATTGGCTAAATAAAGTGTTTCGATGCTCCATCAAGTGCTGTCATCGTTACCCGCTCCAAATCCACACAAACCCTATTCGAACATGAAACAAGAAAATAACGTAACAACTGGTGTCAGAAGGAAAGGGGAAAAAAAAAAGAAAAAAAAAAAAAAACCGTGTTCATAGACATACACACAGAATTAAAAATGAGCTTATAAGTCATATTTAATTAGTTTGTTAATTTTTAATTAAAAATTAAACAACGGAATAACTAAAAGTACATCTTGTAAATTATATGCATATTTAATTAGAATTTTTTGATTTTATTATTTAGGCAGAAAAATAACTAAATCTATAAATATATTATTGAATCAAATATTTTAAAACTCAGAAAATCGTAACAGAAATTAGGATCCATTAATCACATATTTTTGAAGCTTTCGGAATTCTAATTTTTACACTGGAAAAAAAATAATAAATTCTGGATAGAGACAAGAAATTTATATATTATTATCAACAAAATTCTTATAATTCATTTATAAACATGAATGTAAAGATCTGGAAGTAGCATGTTTTGTAGGTTTAAGATCCGAATTAGATAATCTTTTTGCTATAGCATGGTTCTTCATTTCCTTGTATGTTTACTTTTCTTTAAATAAGAGTGGCTTCATGAGCTTTAGTACCTAAATTTGGTCAATATACAGTCCAGTTCTTTTTTAACAATAGAAAAATTCACAAGTTAGGTTTGAATTTTTTCAACGGCCGAGTCAGGAAACATTGCATTTAAAACCTGCTTCAAATAGTCGGAAATCAAGATTGGAAGGCCGTGTTCAATTAAAAATCAAATTAAATAGCATTCAACTTTTAGAACATCCCTTTTGTTGTCCTTTATGAAGAAAATTCATATTTCTCTTAATTTAAAGCCCAAATTATATTATGGCTTTAAGAAAATACATGCCATTTACAATCACTTTCATGCTATGCACAAATGAAAAGTCTGTGTTGCTAGCGTGTGTATGCTTTGGAGAAACTTTAGATGCTTTAACCCCTTCGCGCCAGGTAGCGCAAACGCGCGCTTATCGCGGAGGCCGGCAGTGTCTTACGCGAGCGTCTGTCCAGGGCCGGGGGCTTTTTTGTTATTAAGCCTAAATCCATGAAATTTCCGAAGTATCAATGCATTGTTTAATAATGCTCTATAGAGTATTTAAACGGCTTATGCTTTATAGATATTTTTATATATAGTTACCTTATTTCTTGTTTAAATGCATATTTTACACATTTTATTTTCATTCCTCGCCATTTTATGACTTTTAACATTATAAATCTGAAAACTAAATATATTACTTAAAATTCTCTTTTCGTATGAAAAATTTGAAAACAGGGATCTACACACAGTCCTACGTTACATTCCTTGCACTTGTAATGACATCGACGATGAGGACATTAATTAATTAAGGATTAATGATGATGAGGACATTTCGGACATCTGTATGCCGAGTTTCTCATCATCATTAGATTCGCCAGATTCTTTATGATCAGAATATATCATAGTATCACTATCACTACTATCAGAATCAATATATGAAATATTTTGTATCATTTCTGCTATTTCATGCTCTGTTAAACATTTTTGACGCTTCGACATTGCAATGGTAAAAACAGAAAGAATTCATGTCTAACAAGATCTAATTATTTTCTAAAAACTGAACTGCAATCCGAAATACCCAACGCTTTAGCGAAAATAAAACTTCTCTACTTGCAATAAACAACTACCACGTGCGAATAAAGTGCGATTTAACGAGACGTCATAAACCACGCCATTCGGAAACATTTATTTCCCCTTTTGTTTATACAATCAAAAACACGTGTATGCGAGTCATGCTTCTCTCATTTCGAGTAGAAGGTCTAATGTACATGTATCTGAAACCATATGGACATACAGTGCCATCTTGTGGCAGAAATTAGTTTTTAAAACGTTCCAGGACACTGGCACAAATACGTGACAGTCGGGGCTGAACGGGAAAATGCTCTGGCACGCCTGTGTGTCAGCCGGGAAGTGAGTGTGTTCGTTGCTGGCACGTAGACGTGACAGTCGGCGCGAAGGGGTTAATGCATGGAAATTCTGTAGAATATGAGTCTGAATACCTGGCTTGATAATTTTAACTTCTTATTTTAAAGTGGCATAATTCATTAACTTAAAAAACTTTCAGTTTAATCAAAATTTACAAGATATGCATGCTAAATTTTCTTGCCACAATATAACCAAATCAGACCTGCTGGTAAACAAGCCCTTTACTGCAGGATGCTTGAATGGAAAGATAATTATAAGAATTTGCTGAGCTACAACTAGTTACTCTTCCAAATCTGCAAGACCATCAACTTAACATGTGATGTCACGAGCATTTCACCAATCATTGGAGTAATAAATTGGTTTCATTCTGCATATCATTTACCTTGCATCTCTTTCAGTAAAATCAGAAGTTTTTTCGATATTTTACATAAGTCATGCTTTTTATGGAACTTCCACAGAAACTACAAAGAATCTGGAGCAGTTAGAGTCTCATGTATACAGGGTGATTCCAAATTCATGGTACAGACCTGGACCTGAAGTACAGAACAAAGGAATGAATAATATTCACATAAGAAACTCAGGTCGCAATCCATTTACTTAATTATAAATACAACTTGAAATGCATTTACAATAAGAAAATTTAAAAATAAGATTGAGAGCACATATCTTCTTGTATGAATTGCTTCATGCAAAGAACATCATCCACAGGACCTTCTATCACTACTTAAAAAAAGATCTTGCTTCAAACTACATCATCAAACACATTTGCATATTAGTAATTTGAGTAAAAAAAAAACTGTTGCCGGTAGAGGAACAGTGGGTGTGCATTTCAGTAGGGAAAGACGCCATTTGCAATTGTGCTGTGGTCAATACTGGAAGACTTCACACATATGCCGAAAAAATAGACATGCATTACATGTAAATTTACAAATTACAAATCAAAACTTTTGCAGCAAACATGGACTTAAACCTGCAAAATTCAGCAGTGTATAATATAATAAAATGGACAAATTCAAAAAGCAAATCAAATATCTGGAAAGACTACATGCTTAAAATATAAAATTAGCATAAAAAATGTCCGACAGGCACAATTTTGGGGATCTTAACAACAAAAAGAAAAAGGGTCAAATTTGTAAAAATTAATTTCACTCATAAGATCATAATACTCAAACAAATCTCATAAAAAATGACTAAAATTCATACTAGCTAGCAAATACACACTGGGCTTTGCAATTCTTTTGTTGAAATCGCACTTTAATCTCAGACACGTGGCCAGAACTATATATAATTTAGTACCTATCAGTTTTACTAGGTCACATATTCTTGGTAACAAAAAATTTCCAGTAACATTTTGGTAACCTTAGCTGTTGTTCTGTTAAATTAATCCTTCCAATAATCTGTAAATATTATTCAATTTTCGATCAAGTTGTCTTTAACTACCTCCATTAAAGATTTTTAGTTTTCTTTTTTCAGACACAACTTACTTGTTCCACAGCAAATATCAAAGACAATACTTTGTTATGTTATTTATCAAAGACAATACTTATAATATACTTAAAACCATCCAGCATAGTTTTTTTATTTTGTTTGATTACATGCAACAGCAAAACTCAGTTTTATGGGCACTCTTTTCACACAGCATGTAATTTTCTTGAAGAAAATTTCAACTGAATCAATTTAATTTAACCATTGGTACTCACTTGCAATTTTGGTTTCTAGTCATCAAAAAACTATTGCCAGAATATATGACTGGTCTAATAAGTACCGCCAATTAACATAGCAGGAAAAAGCAAGCCTAGAATGCAATCACCTACCTTATTTCCTTTCTTCATATCCATTTCAGTCATTGTTTTAAAATAATCAGATGTTTCTGGATAAGCAAATCGAAAGCTTCTGGTAACTACTTTAAATACATCATTGTGTTCCAAAAGAATTTTCTCAGCAATTACAGAGTTATTTAGGAATGTCAATCCACAGTTATCCAAAGGCTCCAAATATGTCTAGGTGATATTAAAAACAAATTTTACACATAATAATAAACACATTGCCTTTTTCTATTTCATATAAACATTTCATGAAAAAGTATATGCACATCTAAAATATGAATACTTAAAAAAATAGCAATATTTTGAAATGCCATTTGTTAGTGGATGGAAAGTAGACATGGACGTCCGTTATTGTGTTTATTGGCCGTGAGAAGAACAAGTTCGCACAATAGATATACAGGTAGTTCGGCGCTAGCAGGCACCCTCTTGCAGAGAACAAAATCAAAATTTACATAAGCCACGAACATGCCGCTCACCTTGAAATACTATTTCAACATTCAGTGGTTAAAAATTTAGCAAATTTAAAAAACACAATACAATATTAAAATCATGATGTAATACTTAATTTATAATACATGAATTAAAACTCAGATTTGTAATTGACACAATTTTGTAATATTTCTTTTGACCATGCCATCTGAAGTCTTAATAGTCACAACCCTAACAATATTGTCAAAACCAGTATGTAACTGAGTAATTCTACCCATTTTCCATTTAGTTGGAGGTAAGTTATCCTTCTTTATGAGACACAGATCATTAACTTGAATATTTTTAGTTGGCAAAAGCCATTTTAGTCTTTGTTGTAATCGACACAGATATTCTTTGTGTCAACGCTTCCAAAATTGTTAAATCATTTTTTGAATACGTTGCCATCTAGTAAGAGGGAAAACTTTAATGTAATTTGGTTCAGGAATGCTTGTTAATGATCTACCAATACAAAAATGACCAGGCGTCAATGCTGTAAGTCATTTGGATCACTAGATAAACTTGTTAAAGGTTGCGAGTTAAGACAAGCTTCTATTTGTGTGAGAAATCTTTCAAATTCTTCATATGTCAATCTCGCCTCGCCAACTACACTTTTTAAATGCTACTTTGTTGATTTTATGATAGCTTCCCAGAGTCCAACCATATGTTGCGCACCTGGAACATTTAGATGCCATTTAACGCCATTATCAACCAAATATCTACTAATGTTATGGTTATAAATTGCAGATGTAGCAAGCCTTTCAAATTCCACGAATTTGCATTTTGCTCCAAAAAAATTGGAACGGCAATCACTATATATATCACTGCTTTAGCCCCTGCGGGAAATGAACCTCTTAAAAGCCACAATAAAAGTATCTGCTGAAAGATCAGTTACTAATTCTAAAGTGAATAATTCTTGTCGTAAAACAAATATAATAATATATGCCTTGAATGACCTGTAGCCCCGACCCTTATTTGCTTTAATTTGAAAAGGACCTGTGTAATTCACTCCATAGGGCAAAAATGCAGGAGCAGGGGAAACGAGACTAGATGGCAAATCACTCATCAATTGATTAGTGACAGACGCTCTAATTTTGCAACTCTTTATACATTTTCTAACTAAATCTCTGATAACAATTCTATCAATTATGATCCAATATTGTTCTTGAATGCAAGATTGCATGAGTTGCAGACCTGCAAACAAAAGTATTTCATGGTAATGTCTAAGAATGAGATGAGTTAAAATGTGCCTCTTTGGCAGCAAATGGGATGCCTAAAGCCATATGCAAGGTTTGCAAGTGACCGCCCACCCTGAGAATACCTGAATTATCTAAAATGGATTTAAAGATAAAATTTTGCTTGTACAAGATAATGATTGATTTCTGCTTAAAGTGTTAATTTCATTCTTAAATTCAACATATTACATTAATTTAACTAACACATGCATAGCTTTAGTTAATTCACTAGTTTTTAAAAATCCATTTACCTGATCTGAATTTCTACAGTTATTTACAAACCTCAGACATAATGCTGTAACACTTTTAAGTTTGGTGAGAGAAGAATATTTATAAAATAAATCATGAGCGTCTGTCAAGTAACTGGCAGCAGTTGTTGACTGTAAGCACATCTTTGCTCGGGCGCAGAATCATTCAGTGGTGGTGCAGATAATGCTGGCTGAAAAGGAAACAAATCGTACAATAAATATGGACCACGTAGCCACCATGAAGTAACCAATGCAGATGCTGACACACCATGAGTTGCAAGATCATCAGGATTAGTATTTCCACTCACATGATGCCACTGGACAGGAGAAGATAAAGTCTGGATTTTTGCTACTCTGTTAGCGACGAAGGTTTTCCATTGGTTTGCATGAGATCCTATCCAGGCTAATACAGTAGTGGAATCAGTATGAAAATAAGCTTGTGATATAGGAATATTCAAAGCTTTACAGGTGAAGTTCATCAATTTAGTCAAAAGGAATGCTCCACAAAGTTCCAATCGGGGAAGTGATATGGTTTTCAGTGGTGCAACTCTTGTCTTGGCTATCACCAACTGAACATTGATTTGTCCAGTATTCTAACACAGAACGATAATAAGTTGCAGCGGCGTACGCCTTCTCTGAGGCGTCACAAAACCTGTGCAGTTGAAACTGGTTATCTGATTCAATCAACAAGAATCGTGAAATTTTGATACTTTTAATAAATAACATCTCTTCTGTAAGTTGTTTCAATTCACATTCAATATCTGGAGGAACGTTTTCATCCCACTGCAACTGATGTTTCCACAATCTTTGCATGATCAATTTATACCGAACCGTGATCGGTGCCAACCATCCAAGAAGATCAAAGGTCTTTGCAATTATTGAAAGTAGTGTTCGTTTGGTTAAAACCTCAGGATATGATGAATTAATCCTGTGGTATCCAGCTTCAGATATGCTTTTATTCAAAGCATATCTGAAGCTGGATACCACAGGATACCTAACGTTTTTACAATATCATCATTGTCTATGTTTAAAGAAACATTTGATAGCACAAATCTGGACTAATTGAATTCAAGGCTTCTTTGCTGTTAGAAGTCCATTTTCTTAAAACAAATCCTGCATGTGACAACATCTGATTCAATTGCATTTGTAATTCTATAGCTTCAGTAACTGAACTGGCTTGGGACATCAAATCATCAACGTAGAAGTCCCTAAGGCATGTCTTGGAAGCCAAAGGAAAATTAGTTGCTTCATCTATTGCTAACTGCTCTAAACATTTTACCGCAAGGTACGGTGCTGATGCACTACCGTAAGAAATCCTAGTTAATCGAAAATCCTGATTTGGTTTATAAGGTGAATCGCACCAGACTATCCTTTGAAAATCTGCATCTTGTAGAATAATTTATCTGCACATTTTCTCTATGTCCGTGAATTCTGAAACGAATACCGTATTTGATGGCATATAAGACGCCCCCTTATTTAGAAGGCCACATGCAAGGAAAAACAGTTTGAATAGTCCGTGGGATAGCGTGGTACCACAATAACTTAAATTGTGGTTTCTTTTAGTTTTCACGTTTCGTAAAAGCCAAATAAACAATCATTGAATGCAATTACCAAACATATTTTTTTAATTAACAACGGCATGCTATTTTGAACATATGTAAATTTCAATAATGAATAAATGAATGAACGGCAAGCAATCAAACATAATACAAAATAAAGCAGAAACAACAAAAAACACAGATTCAAGGAAAATGTTGCCTTATCATGAAATTAGACTTTAATCACTTTCAAAACCATAAAAATCCTTTTCACTATCATCATCATCATCATCGAAAACAAGAATATTGTCATCACTACTGTTTCTGCAATCGCTAGTATCACCTTCTTCGAATAACGCGTCGTCTTCTGTTCTGTCAAGAGCATTACTGATTCCGCACTTCTTAAAGGACATTTATAACAATTACTTCAGCCTTTACGTCCTCCCAAGATCTTTTTACTCACTCGCACACTTGTCAAATAGAGGGCCACTTCATTCTGCCTGAGGGTGTGAGGGCGTGATGTGACTCTCCTATCCACTTGTTCCACCGTTCTCGCACTTTTTCCTTAAATGGCTTATTCACCGATACATCTAAAGGCTGCAATTGGCTAGTCAGTCCACCAGGAATGACAGCTATCTGTGTTTTTAATTCTCTTGCTTTACTCTTTATGGTTTCAGTTCTATGGGCGCTAAACTGATCCAAAACCAAAAGAGAGGGTTTCTTAAGAGTCCACCAGGTCGCCTCACCTATATGTTCTGTAACCACAGTTTCATCCCATCTTCGTCCATTAAGCCTTTCGAATCAACATGAACAATTACATCCGTTGGAAGTTTTTCTTTTGAATATGAAAAATGGCGGTAGTTTTGCGCCATCAGCACAACATGTTAAGAACTATCGTATATCGGGTTTTTTCATGACCTGCGATTTTTATGGTTATTGATTTAGACCCTTTAATACTCACAGTCTTGTTGGATGGTACATAAAATGTGAGTGGAATTTCATCCATATTTCTTATTTGACTGAGCTCAAAAGAAGTTTTCTTGCATGCATTTATAACAAACCTATGAAATGCTAGAATTTTTTTCTTCATAATCTGCTGGCATTTTTTGTGCAATAGTTGTTTTTGTGCGCATTGATAAGCCTTGCCTTTATATGAACCTGTAGCACCAGCCCTCACACCCTGAAAAGTTCTGATTCCCATGTTTTTCTACAAATCCTTTTGCCTCATTGATTATCATTTTGGTTGAAACACTTATCCCAGATTTCCTCTTATCTATCACCCACATTTTTACAGCATTTTCAAGTCCAGGCCAAGATGGAACTGGGCATCGAAGGTTATGTGTTTGTTTTTTAGCAGTCTTCAGTTGATCTTCCTTCAGTCGCCAAGTATGTATCATTTTTTCGGTACGTGGACCAAAATGCCTTGCTGCTGCTCTGTTTCCATGCACTTCTAAACTAGGCGTAGTTTAACACTCCTAGTTTATACTGAATTGTATAGCTTAATCTCTTGTTTCCTGTAGTCATATTTTCCAGGGTATTTTTTTTTAAACAAATAGTTTTAAGCACCGATACCGACATGTTCATACAGAGTAGCACCGATACTGACACGTGTGTCGGCTGAGTCAAAGAAAATCTATGTAAAGAAGGAATGGCTCCATAGACGTAATGTGACCGTCGAACCTGTTCGA